CACAGCAATTTCGCGTAGTAAACTAACTGAAGGTATCTGTTCGAACTGATGATATCAATTAAAAAAGAATGATTTGAAGCCGCGGGCGCCTTGAGTACTCCCCGTAAGAATAATACCATATTTTAAGATAAACAAATTCCACATGATGTAATTCACTTATTGCCTCATTTGTTTTCTTATTTTCGTATGATGTCTTCATTTGTCTATGGATACTTCGCGTAATATATTTGGAAGCCAGTAGGGTTGCACATAGCGGGCAGTTAGAGGCCAGCTTCAAGAACACCGATCGCATCCTCAGCCTCCATTCAAGATCAAGCTCCCAACTATAAATAATGACGGTGGCTCGTAAATGAACAGATCGCAAATAGACACGTCGACGGGGACAGGAAGTTAAAGGGAAAAGGGCACCCGAGTACGCAGCGATCAGTTAACTTGTTGAGCATTCTCCACTTGTCGATTTGTGAACCACTGTCCCAGTGCCATACGACTGAAATCCGGGGCCCCTCCCCCAGCCATCTTTATCGATCCAGGGGCTCGTTCTCCCCAAGTCCCTGCCCTAGTCCTTCGCGCTGGGGCATGAAATCCATCCTTAAAAATTTTCCAGTCATCCGAAATATGATCACGGGAGATTAACCACAAGCGCGATTAAGAACCTGGAACCGACCAAAATAAATACAAACCAAAAAAAGATATCACGAATAGATAGGAAAATACACGAGAAAGTCTAGAGAAACTTACAAATTTTTTTTTTAAATAATATATCTTTATTGGAACGAATATACATAGTTCAGTTATATTATACTACCATACAATGTACTTACCAATATAGTAGTGGATAAAACATAGATGATACGAATAAGAACTAGAATGAAGCAAACGCATTGGGCGACATAAACCACTGAATAATGGAATCCCCGCGGTAGATAATATTCAAATCAAACTATTCAAATACAGAGAAGAAATTTGGCAAAAACCAATCTCAACTATCGGCCAGTATCGAAAAAAAACGTGAACAGCAATTTTGCAACGCACTATAATATCCATTACCAAAGAAGTAGACAGCCGAATTGGTGCAAATAACACAATGGCATGAATACCGTGTGATTCAGTCAACGGCAAAAGTCATCCCTCGAAATGAAGACAAATAATATTTTAAGAAATGTCGATGTAGCATAATTCAAAAAACAAGTTCAAATGAAAGAAACATCATTTTCTATCTCCTCTGGAAAGTGGTCTAGATTACATTACGTCGCTAAAGCTTAGCGTAAAAAGCATATCCTAAAATCATACTCAACAGAAAAATATTCCTTGTTTTAAACTCTGTTGAATTTCCTATTATTTATATCCTTTTGACGAACTCATGAAAATCAAGTGCAACTGGTTGCCATTACTGAAAAATTTCTACAGATAACTTTTTTCTAGAATAATCCACTTTTATGAAAACGAAGAGAAAATGGAAGAGAAAACACGCTCCAAATGCAAGCAAAGTGTTCCAATTGCATCATT